GTTATCTGTCACCATTTCCCCAGAACAATGGAATGAGAAAATACACCTTTTAGGATTGATATGCTATGTGAGTTTGTGCTTCTAGATGAGAAGTGTTCTCTTAAAACTGGAAAAACTAGTTGATCCTTGGACATTTATATCCCTTTTCTTCAAGTGAGTGTAATCATCCCCTTTTCTGAGGCTCACTGGGCAATGCTGAGAATAGAACTTTTTCACTAGGTCTCTCAGTTTTATGTAGTGCCCTGTTTCAAACATCATGCCTCATCCAGTTCATTCTTCATTTTTGGAAGGTGGTGATATATTACTGTAAATAGCCACAGTAGAGGTCTCCTGAGTTCAAAGCTAGAAACAAAATTCTTCACCTTGTTACAGATACCAAGTGAAGCCATGTTGACCTCACTTTTGGTTTAATGAAGGATTCTGTCCTGTGTTGGAAAGTCCTAATAAATATTATAATGTTACAATAAAGTGTGTCCTCACTACAATATTAGCGGAGGCACATTTCTCAACACATCAAAACAAATCTGCTTCTGAAAAGCCTCAGAGAAATTGTCAGTAGAAAATTAATCACAATTCACACATTATCAAGAAATATTAGGACAAAGTTTTGCATATTTAAGGTGACACTTACCATCTTAGGCAATGAAGGAATTGCTAATGCTATTACATACTCTTACCTTCCCAGAATGTTATACATTGTTTTGTCATTAATTTAATCTGATTAATGCCTACAAATACTTGTATACATTGGGTAAAATAATATTAGTACATGCTTTGCTTTTCAGTAGAAGGCCATTAATAAGTCCCACCTAAAATATAACTACATAAAAGATCATTAAAATTAACTTGATTTATCATCTTAATCTGTTTCAGTGGCCTTCAGAACTGGTCTTTTTCATTCATTTGTGAAAAAGAGGGTATGACCTGTAAGCAGATGTAGGATCACCCTGAGAAATGCATACAGCAGAAGGCTCTATTGTGCCTTTTTTTTTTAGTCAGAGTGTTTGAAGAATAGTTAATATAAACAACAAAATGCTCGGTCTTCAAGTGCCTGCTGGTTAAAGCTACGTTTAAATGCCATGTGACAATTTGCTTTCTTCATTTTCTGTTAATAAAAAGACGTCTGCTCTGCCTGCTTCTAAGCTGATAATGTGAATCATTGTTTTTCTTAGATTTGTCTTAACATAAACCATGGAATCTGCAGAAGCCTTCATTAACACAATTGTGTTTTAAAGGAAAATTTGCATAGTAAATTCCTTGGATTTTAACATCCTATAGATAATGGAATCTCTACATGAAAATTCTAAACAATTTACTCTTAAGTTTACTAAAAAACAAGAAGTGAAACTTTTATCTTACTAATTCGAAAGTTCTCACTATTTCATTTATTGTGCATGCTGCTGAATTTAAAAACAAGTGCTCTTAGAAAGCACTGGAGTTTTCTAAAACAATTTGTTTCTAGGAGCCAAGATGACGTTTAAGTTTTGTTTTTGTTTTTCCTACACCCTTGAAATGTAGTTTATTATATAAATGTCTTGAAGTAAGACCTTAGCTGAGTATTTTTCTTGAATTTTGTTTTTTCATCAGAATTTCTCATCTTTCTCTGGCAGATTCTTTTGGTCAGCCTTGCTGTTTTCACCTATGTGTGTGTGTATGTATGTACATGTTAAAACATCAGTCTATGCATTTCTCTTGTCTTTTTTTTTTTTCCCAAGACAAGCCAAAGAGATGGTCTATGTTTTTGATGAGGAAAGCTCATTGAAAAGACTTTAAACATTTTTAAAATATGCAAATACACAAAAAAGCACTGGTATCAACGATGTTCCATAGGAAAAAAGACAAGTCAGTCACCTTCAGTCAGTATTTACAAGGCTGTCTCAACAAAGCAGTCTTGCTTAAGATAAAAATTCACCCTCTGAGAGGCCACTAGGAGAAGCTGTTTCCAAAGGTGAGAACTGGAAAAAATATACAGTCAACCCAGTGTCCATCACATCTAATTCCCATTGGAACTAGATTACCATTTTTATCTCATGAGCCATAGATATTCACAAGAATCTCAATCCTACAAGTGCATCAAGTGACCTCTGCAAATTATTACAGGTTTTAAGAAAGGTTTTTTCATGGAGAATACTCCAAGTCTTAAAGGATTATATTAACCACCACCTAAATTTGCCACCTAATCAGTCAGCTTCCCTAGAGTAACTGCCATGAGGACAACGATCTTGCAAAGTTATTGCAATAAAAGTTTCTTTAAAAATTCTGTTCAACCTCTATTTTTTTATGTCATTCCTTGAGTGTCTTAGGTTCGAACACTTGAATTTTCTAGCTGTAGTTCATGAGGTCTTTATTTCAAATCTCTTTTCATATTTAAGTCTGAGTGAATTAAATAATTTGACATTACATCTGTGCCAGTTAGACTGTGATCTAAGCAGACAAGACAGGCTGATCCAAATCCAATCGCAGAGTTCTCAAAAAATGGAAAACTAATATAAGTGAGAGAGACCAGGCTATTCAGGTTTTGAGTGTTCATTGTTTCACCTAGTTCTCTAATCCCAAAAGCAGTTGTGAAGAATAAGGAGGAAAAGAAGGTGCAGGAAAGGAAAGTTTACTCTCCCTTTACCTTCTTAAGAAGGTAATATTAAAATGAAAATTCTTCTTAAGACAGTCCATCACTTTTCTTGCTGAGTTCTTGAAAGACAGGTCCAAGGCTGCAATAAGAAAGCTGAATACTGGTTTTGAATTTTAAAAAAATCAAGTCCAAACCACTATGCAAAATATTTGGGGTTGTAGGAAAGGTGAATTTCTTGTCGGGTTTAGTTGCAAAGTAGTTCTTGCATTTTATGGCATCCAGTTTATGGCTGGACCCAAGCCTTTGGAACCTAAATGACTGCATGAGTCTGATTTTCTTGGCAGGCACAATAATTTATAAATAAAAATAACCAGCTCAAAACAGTGCTATTTTATTTTATTCTGTCCTTGAAGCAATTAAAGAAAAATATCTACAAGACAAAATGAGAGGAAATTCTGAAACTATCTATTTTTTTCTATCTCAGCCCACCTCAGAATCAGATTCTTTTTTTCTGTGGATTCTTTTTTCTCAGTAGTAGATAGATATTCCCAAGAGTAGCAAAAAATGATCACCAGCATATGTGTCTCAGAACTGTGTTGCAAAAATAGGGTTTTATTTTCTGCTTGTTGCAATAAGGCTAACAGGAAGAAAGAAAAAGATTATTCAGTTTGTGCTGTTTTCTAAGAGCATGTTTTCAAGACAAGAGTTTTTCAGTGCATTAGGTGGTACATTTTTCTAACACCTTTTTGCCTGCTCTTTCTTCTCGGACATTTGCTTCTGTGCAAACATCCTCTGAAAATATGCTTAACAGTTCTGAAAATTTTAGGTGTTGTCAGCAAGGTTCTTTATGAAAACAAACTCAACGAAGTGACAGGTTCCCAGTACATAGTGATCCTAGCGTTAGTGCAGGTTGACAGATATGACATCCTACTGGCTCACCTTTTTCACTTACTGTTATCTGGACCCCTAGGTCTTTTCTGTCATATATATGACATGCCTCAGCGAGGTTTAATATGACAGAACTGTTTGCTTTATCACTCCAGAGCACGATCTTCCCTGACAATGAAATCAGACAGTGCAATTTACTTAAATTTGTGCGCATTCCATCTGTCAGAAGGCTGAGGTAAAGTATCCTGGCATCTATCAAAAGAGAGAAGATAAGTTATTTGCTCTTTCACATCAAATTTATACAGAAGTATATTGATGTGCCTGGTTACTCATGTCTCCACCATATCTGATTTTTATTGTTGTCTTCAGAATAATTTAAGGACTTCAGGCATTCTTTCCACCTTGACTTGACAGATCACAAATATAAGTGATTTAAAGGGTGAGAGAAACGTTTATGTCATGACCAGGTAGCAACTTATCCCTCCTAGAATTAAGTATTGTACAGAAAGTTGAAGTAACATTTTAGCACAAAGATGTTCACAGAATCCTAGATTAAGTTTGAAAACATTCATATAATGTTGTCCTTTTTCATGTCATTTTACTACAATTTTCTCAGTTCTAGAAACATTGAGATACAGTTTTGGTGGCTCTGGGGAAGGTACAGGGCAGATCTGCATTTATGTCATAAACTAAGTGGGAAGCAGCAGCTGGTTTGTTACCCCGGAGCTGGAAGAGAGTAGCAGGAAGATTTCAGAAACTTCCTTTTAAAATATGCTGTATGTGGGGAAGTTGTGACTGCATTGCAAAAATATCATTTGGCAAATGTGTATTTAAATTTCTTAAATTTAGACATTGTTTTACTATAAATACATTAACAACACCCTTAGAATGTGAGATTTATGTGCAAGGCTTATTATTAATTATTAGGACTAAATTTGATGTTTAAAAAATGCCAGTGCTTCTTTTTTTAGAGACTGTTTTTTGTTGCATTCTTTTCTTGTATGCATGTGGCTATTTGTCAGTATGGGATAGGGATCAAAAACACATGCTCGGTCTAAGTGGGGGATTCCTATGTGTTGTCTGCTCTAGCTTTTCTCACTGTAATTTGCCTCCCACCTTTATTTTAAAATCACTTTCTGCTATATTGTGCCTCTGGGGAAATATCCAGAAGAATCAAGGAGTTGAAATTCTGTGAGATCTGAGTAGGCCCCACTGTTGTGCCAATAGTACTAATTTTCTTGAGAAAAGATATTATATATCTTTGAGCATGATTTGGGAGAAATATATGCTACCTTGTGTTCATACTGGGATGAGGTAGAAACTTACGGCTTGAATTTCAAAGTTCAGCTCAAAAGTTAAATTGTTTGTGTAGCTGCAGTCTGTTCTTTAACTATATTCACAAGTTACTGTTTATCCTTCAAGGCAATGGGAAATGGGACAGTTAGCACACATGTTAACCGAAAGCTTTAAAAATAAAGATCACTGTTCAAAGAAGAAACAGCATAAAGAGGTATCAACAATTGTTAAATATTTAATATTACAGGCCAGATGGAATTGGAACAGTATCTGTTGAAGAGAAAGAAAGGTTTGAGGAAATTAAAGACAGACTTTCCTCCCTTTTAGAAAACCAAATAAGCCATTTCAGGTGAGTGTATAACTTATTCAATGAATACTAATTTTATTCTGGAAGCATTTTCTCATGGTGTTCAATTTTGGTGTTCAATAAGTGGATTCAAACTAAAATAAAAGAAATTTTGAATATATTAAATATGAAATAATTTATTTACACAAGTGCCTGCTTAAAATTTATTTGTGTGTCATGTGAGCTGTATTTTTCTGTGGTAGAAAAGATTGTGCAAGAATATAGGCCTGGGTTTGTTGATGCTTTTTATGCTTTCTATAACTGTAAGAAAATTGTCTACATGAAAATGACCTAAGCAATTTCTGGATTAGTACTGATTAGAAAAATCATACAAGTAGAGAGCATCTTTGATAAATGGCTGCTGAAACTTTTCTGGATGTCTAATGTCATTTTCTTGGGTTTATGATAGACTTACCAGCTCAGGTTCATTGTCCTTAGCAAAGAGCTTGTCATATGTAAGGACTGTCAATGCAATTAAAAGATGTTTAGGGAAGGAGTATAAGAAACAGAGCAAAATATCACTTGGGGTGATATTTCCTTCTGTTTTCTAGCAATTGATGGTTTATGAAGCTTAGCATGAAAACAGCATGTGGACCATCAAATCTGTTACTTTATCACAATAAGCCATCCTAACTGCCATTATTCTGTCAATCTAAAAATATTTTAGAATGTATTTATAGATTTTTTTTTTGTCTTTGTATCACTCTATGACAACCAATTCCACAGTTTAAATAGTGCTGTGTGAAACAGCTTCCTTTTATTTGGTGAGCTTGCCTATAAGTTTGTTGGATGCCCCTCTGGTTTGATAAGGAAAATGTCTAGTATTCACTCGCATCTATCATGTTGATAACTTGGTCATTGGTGATTTTTTGAGCACGGAGTACATAGCAGCCTTCGCTTGGGAATACATCTTTGTATTAAACTAAAGAGAGCTAGGATTCTTCTTGGAGGGTATTCCTTTTGGGGAAAAAAAATTATACTCCCTTCCTTTATTTCCCTTACATATTCTTCCCTGACACCTTTGCTGTTTCCTGCCTTCCATGGAATTAAAATAGCTCTTTCCAGGGAAGCGATACAGAGCAGCATAGGACACAGTGCCTCCTACCCAGGTCTTGGAAAGGCAGGAGGAGAGTACTGACAGAAGAACATCATCTGCAAGGGGAAGGAGAATAAGTTTAAAAAAAAAGGAGAATTGGAACTGAGAAGACCTCTGGCCTGTGATTGGCATGGCTGTATCCTGTCAAGTTTATGATAGAAACAGAAACATGATAACTGCAATTTCCAATAAATATAATTACTTCTACCCATACGCAATGGTGAGGTCAGTGAAAGTAGCTGTGACCCCAAAAATATTGAAGTTGCAGAAGCCTTCTGAATATGTACAGACAGAAGAGGAAAGTGGAGGAACAAGAAGAGAGGCATCTTCAGAATAATCCTGTTCACCTTCAGGCCTTCACATGCATGAGACTAATTGCAAAATGTACAATAATGTCTAAATAATTGAGTTGGAACAAATAAAGGTGAAACCCATCATATCTGCTTATCTACACTCTAGATAGGGTATGTTGATGAATTTGTAGTATGTCAGTGACCATAGGATCTTTCTGCTTAAGTCGTGGTGGGTTTTGAGGAAATTCAAACATTAGGAACTCCTCCTTGAGAGCAATTCAGTGTGTCATTCAAAGATGAATGCCCTATTCTTCAGAGGACTCTAAGGTTTGCTTTAATATCCTATTTAATCAAGACAGACAAACAGTGATCTGCCAGGTGAAAAGCAATCATTATATCTTTCTCTGAACAAATGTTAGAACTAAAAAAATTAGGTGGAATGTCTGGATTTAGATGAGGATACTGGCATAATACTCGTAGAAGGAAGAATGAATATTGCCCTGGAATCTGAATTTAAAAGCATATACAATCACAAGATAGGGCATCCTAATAAAGAATTGGCATTAGGCTTTTAAAGAAAACCTTGACACAAATAAGGTAAAAAGATCACCTGTATCATTAATTAGCAAATAACCTTAGCTGTGAGATTGCTTTCTTAAGAAAACATGGTGCTAAAAACACTCCATATATCAACCCATCAAAATTGTTGTGATGACTGTGAAATGCTGAATATTTTGGAAAACACATTCATCAGTAAAGATTGATGCAAAGCATGCACTGAGTTTCTCTGCTTTGACCATACTGTCCCTGATGAATGCCCTGTATTCCTTGTCACCAGGCAGTCCCACCATCTCCGAGGCTGGCTTCCTGCTTCTGATGTTCTTTATACTGTCAGTTTGAATATCCGTGCTGTTTATGTGGGCCCTAGAGTATTTTAGAAACTTTCATGTCCTCCTTGTTCAGATAGGTTTTACAGTTTTTAAATGCCAGATTCGCTACAATAACCTTTCTGTCTTCCTCATAGAGTCACAGAGAGGGGATTTTGTTTAGTTTTCTAACCATTTTTAGTTTTCAGTGTGTTTAACTTGGGACTTTGAATTTTCCTTCAGGGTGCTTGTAGGTTTCTTGCTTTTTGGACTGCTCCTTTAAGGTTTTGGCTTTTATTTTTTAAGTTTTTTGGTTTTTCATAGTTCCCATTCTTAAAAATGAATATACTGAATGTAGATGTACTGATTTTATTTTTTTTTTTTTGGCCTGTTCTCTTTTGCTGCATTATTAAATTTTATTCTTTTATGACCACTAATACAGAGCACCTCTCCTGCTCTGCACCTCTCAAACTAGATCTTATCACAGTTGAGACCAAATCCAGAATACAGTCTTTTCTTGTGGGTCCTAAATTAATTGTTCAAGGAAACAACTCGAAACTGTGTCCCAGAATATTGTATCTCATCCTAATGAGACATTGATCAGGTGTACATGTGAATAGTTAAAATCTCTTACTATTTGTCATCAGTTTGCAGCTTCTCTAATCTCACTTAACATTTCCTAATAATTCGCATTATCCTCATTAGGGTCTCAGTGGTACAGACTTTCAAGGATCACCAGCACTCGTCTAGAGTATTTCCCAGTTCTTAAGATACTTTGTCATCTTACCTACACTCTGAGACTTCAGGTGTCTGCCTGCATCTCAGGCATCAAATGTGGAAGAGCCGTATTTCAGAGAAAGCTTCTGTAAGGGTCTTGAGTACTGCTCCCATGAGTACTGCTCCTTCTCTATTCTCCCCTAGGTAACTTACATAAACATCTCCTGACGTCTACTACCTTTGTACCAACAACTAACTTACTGCTTGGTCCTCTTTGATGTCGCAGCCCCAGTTGTCCATATGTCTAATAATTGAATTGATTGTCACCATCTGTGACTCCCTATCCTTAAAGATCCTCCCAGCTGTGGGAGCATCCTTGTCACAGCCAAACAGTGGGAAATTGACTGGCATGGGGGTTTTATCCAAGAGATTGAATTTATTCTTGCCAGGAAGATGCTGCTCCCCTGCCTCCTCATCAGCACAGAGACTGCAATAATGGAGGCAGGACGGCTCAGTGTCTCTTTAAGGCCTCTACTGTGAACGTTTTCTCTTCTTTAAGCTGCTTATCTCAGTATAACAACTCATTTCTGTCAGAAGCTTCTTGCATCAATTGCACACGTAAGCTTGCTGCCTGTGTTATACTCATACATACTGTCTCTGCAGTAACTTGAGTAACCCCTGTTCTACAGTGGGACTTTTATGTCTACATTAGGAACTTAAATCTGCTTGGGTTTTGGAAGCTTGTTATGTTATTTACATAGCAGAACATACCTGGAAGGAAGTCTTTGATTTGAAATAGTAACTATAATCAAAAAATGAGTGACATTTATTCAAAAGCTACCTTTAGATGCCGATAGGAATAAACAGTGGGAAGCACAAGATAAGGACTGTAGAAATACACTGCAAAAGAAGGAGGAGACAAAACACTTAAAGGTGTGTTCTGGTTTAAGATGATTTAACATCTAAGGGTCTTCAAATCTGCTTTGCTAATTTGTAAATGCGTTCTCAAAAATTGTTAGCACTACTGTAAGAAAGAAACAAAATGAGACAAAGCAAATACTAGAATTCTTGCTGTGGGAAATCCTTTTTTGATCTCATTTTCCGGGCTTGATTTCGGCTGACGAAAATGTATCTAAACTTCACTGGTCTGAATCGTTTTATCATTAGAAAAGATTTTACCATTGGAAAACATTAGAAAATGAAGCTACCGTTCTCAGTGAGTAATAATAAAAAGATAATAATCTCAGCAAAGTAAAAAATCCTTTTTCCAATTGGGGATATCCCAGCAAGATTTTATAGATGGGATTAAGAGAGGTTACAGTTGCCTGAGCATTGTAGTCTTATTGAGCTGAAATATTGGATCAGTCAATATATGAAAATGAAAAACAAAGCTAGCAATGGGATCACTTTTTAATTTAGAGAATTTCAGAGGTATCAAGATGAAGGGTATGGTTTAATCTGTAGCTGATAAAATTTAAGATATCATTAAATGCTTTTCCATGCTATTTGTAATAGGAATAAGTCATGAAATATTTGCAGGCATTTTTATTCTCACATATCTCTAGAAACTTAAATATCTGACATTTTATCCTTATCTTAATCCAGTATTAAAACAAGATATAATATACATAGTGCTATTTCACAGCTCCAGTAGCTGTCATGGTTACATGAGAAATAGTACCTCTTTCCAGGAAGATGACATTAAGCTTGTCAGAGACCATTAAATATCATTCATAGTTGAGAAAGTGGAAGTGATGCTTTTTGCCTTTTGTATTTTTATTGTATTTAGGCGTGAGCTGCTGGTGGGCTGATACTGCTGTGCTGTGTATATGCTCCATGGTAGACTGCTGGAGAGGCCTTCTGCTTTCATTAGTGCTTCATGTATGGGAGTCTTCTGCTAACTTAATTTAATGCAAGTTGTGTACAGTTATGTCTCAAAGTAAATCCTTAACAGAGGTGTTATAATTCTGATCATTTTCTCTTCCTTTTTCTTTTTTCCTTTTTAAGATACTGTTTCCCTTTTGGACGTCCAGAAGGAGCTTTAAAAGCCACACTTTCATTACTTGAAAGGGTAAGTTTGGGAGCATATTTTAAACTCTGCTTGAGTACTAAGCCTGTATTTTTCTGTTGCTTTCATGCTGCTGAAAGCCGGCTTATGTCTTCTCAGGTATTTTACCACTGGTTTTAACTGTTCACTGGAGCTTTTTTCTTTATTGTCTTCCACAGAGACAAACAGCTGTTTTCTGTAGGATTTATCTATTGGGCTTTCACTTCAAGCCACTATAGTGGCTCTCTATTTTCTTTAAAATATAACGATTACCCAGCATTAGCTCTGAAGTAAAGTAATGCAAGTCTCTACAGCCCCCCTTTCCTGTTTTCTATGGCTTCTGGCTTCTGATGTTGATTATACTTATGTATAACACTAAAAAGCTTCTATACAATCCAAATAATCTTCCATAAATACATAATCTGAGTCAATTTAAGAAAAAAAAGCTAAATGTGGTAAAACTGACATGGGCAGCTATAAATATAAATTCCTGCGCAGCAAATCCATTTGTGTTGACTGGAAGCACGTCAACCTCATAATGTTAAAAAGCATCTCAGTCATCTCTGAGGAAAGAGAACTTTAAATTCCAGCAGAGATTCCAGAGGAATTGTATCATCAGGAGCCTGATGAAGGTATGAACTCAAAAAAGTTTAGATCCCAGTCTGTGTAGCTTTGCCAAAATCTGAGAGGTCTGGTCCTGGGGAGTGTCAGTTATTCTGCACTGTAGAACACTCCATGGATAGAGCTTCTGTCTTAGAAAACCTCTGCCATGATCAAAAACACATAGGGAGATGGGATATATATGTTTTCTTTCACTTACAGTGTCAGTGATTGTAGTGATGTGTAGAGCCCTTTGTGTTATATGAAACAGCCATTTCCTCTCACAGTTCCTGCTGTTACAACTGGCCATGGTACTCTATCTGATGCTCAAGCAACACCATTGTCAGCATTGACTGGGAATAAATGTGCATTTCTATACTTGTGGATGCAGAATGGGATAGAAATATTTTATTTTACCTGTCTTTGAAAATTTTGGGGGGGAAACCCAAAACAAACAAGATCCAGAATAAAAGGTTTCGAATACTGTATTTGGACTTGTTGATAACCCAAAAGTTATTCATTAAAAAGAAGCAAGTTAACAAGGTAGAGGTGTCATTATGTGTGTGCAAGTAATGGAAGAGTCTGCTTTGCAACAGTGTCTTCCTAATACCTTCTCTGTTAGGGAACCTGTTTCTTTTCCACCGTACCTTTCCCCACACAGTATTTCTGGCTCCCTCCCTTTCACAGTAATTTTTAGGTATGTTCTATAAGAATGTAGCTTGTCTGGAGATACATTGGGGAAGCATTTTTAATAGGTCGAAAGTTATCTGAGACTATTATTTACATATAAAATGTGGTAAAAAGATACTGAGTTTTGCTTACACCTATCTCTTGAAAGTTAATGGATTATAGCATCAAAGTAAAAATGCAAGTGAATTATTAATATTTATTCAATTTTTTATAGTAATCCAAATGTTGCATTCATACAACGAGCTATATATTCTCAGTTTACCTCAGTTGCAACAGGTGATCCATTTTATCAAAGCTCTATATTTTAAAAACGGACAGGTTTTAAAAACTGGCAGGTTTTGAAAAGGTTTGTATGATCTGTTCTTCTACTTGTCCATAATCAAATATTCCACCAGAATTTCAATGTTTTCCCTGGCTACTATAGAGAGCTCTTTTTCACAGCAAGGACATGCTGAATTTTAATAACTGTATGATTGTAGAAACGTCAGTCTTAGCTCTGATGGTGTGGTTCACAGTTTCTCCTTTACAGGAGTCAATGGTTATACGATGGTGGAAGCTCTTTCACAGGTGACAACCAAGCAAATTTCCACATCCTTATCTTTTGCGGGCACCACGATCCAGACCGCCCATGGAATGCTCTTGTTATACTGGTCTTGGCATCATGTATATGAAGACTGACCAGCATACTGCAAGATGCCAAACAGTAGGGGGGTATTGTTTATAAATACCATATAGGCAGTCAAGCCAGTGTTGAACAGAAACCTTGAAAGACAAATATCTAGTTCCTTTTTCATTTCTGCCTTTATCATCAGTTCTGTAGTAACTTGAGGATACTTTTATCCTTTTCCCTTGGGTTTTGGGTAATGACTGTAACCAAGAGGTACAATTGTCTCTGACACAGGTTTTAATGAAAGATATTGCCACTCCTATACCAGCAGAAGAGGTGAAGAAAGTGGTTAGAAAATGTCTGGAGAAGGCCGCCTTGATCAATTACACTCGACTTACAGAATATGCCAAAATAGAAGGTTAGTACAGCAATCAACTGCCAAAGTGGCTGTAAAAGCCAACAATGCATATTAACTGATTATTCTGTGAGCAGCCTTTTCCCTTTCCAGAACAAACCCCTTCCACAGCAAGGGGAAATGTCTCATTAAAATCTCAGCTGGTGAACTATGGAGCTTTTTTCCTATTCATTGCTTTAATATGCCTCCTGGGACTGTTTGAATGGAAGACTAGGACTTCCTAATTTAAGTTGCCCTTTGTTCTTATTTTTGAGTTCTCCATAAATATATGAGGTTGTTGTTTATGAGTTATTTTTTATTTCTCTAACTATTTCTAGTAATTAAATTACTGACAGGAAATTCTTACCTTAACAGCAGTGACAGTACCTCAAAACTTGAAAACTCTAGGTAAAGTTACTTTTCTGATGCACTTATAAGGCAGACAGATAGATAAATGTTATTATTTTTTGCTGGTGTTTTGTCAGATGTATAATAATAATCTGATGATTAAAATCTTAGTTACATCCCGATTTTCTGAAATAATCAATGGGACAAAATACTGGATTTGATGATAATCAGAAGTTTTCCTGGAATTATGTATGTTCTAGAAAGTGTATCATAAAATTAACTAAGATTTTTCTCAAAAAAGGTTGCTAGGATACATAATGTCACTTTACTATTTGTAAACCTGTGTAGAACAATAAGGAAGTCATAATAGTTAAATTCCTTGTCAAGACACATCTGTCATTCTTCTTCAAGCACAGAAAGCTAGCGATACACCTGTACAGATATATTCAGGAGAAGAAAGCAGTGTGTCCACATATCTATAACTGGATTATTGGAGGTAGCTTCAGTTAAAAGGAAAATATAAGAAAGATGAATTCTGCTTTTAAAAAATCCAATTTTATGCATATTATGGTTTTTTAATAGCATGTATTTCTAGCAATGCACTAGAAGAACCAGAGTTATCATAGCGGAAAATGAAGAAGCCTCATATGTTTAGCAATATTATACAGCCAACTTTTTTTCCTTTTTCCATTTCTTCTCAAACTCTCTGAAAAACATGAGTTAACCAATCTCACAAGTGATTAACGAAAAACCCATCTCATCACTATAGCAACCAGTATTATATCATGGGAGTAACAACATGAAACCATCTTAGTAACCAGTTTATCATAATTAATTATGATATCACGTTGTGTTAAAGAAAGAAAGATGAATATTAAATCTATTCTAGAAAATGAAAAAGAAATATAACTGTTTTCCTTAGCTTTTATCTTTCTCTATTCATAAACAGGATTTTTAAATGTTCTGTATTTCAGACTTTTAGCAAACCTGTTGAAATAATGGGTATAAAAATAGAAAGTTTTTTAAAAGATTACAAAAGCATGCAAAGGATATCTAAATTCAGTGAGACTAAATTGAATCGGAAAAGTTTTTTACAGTGATATAAATACATCTTTGTCCAAGATTTTTTTTACTGTTTTCTAGACAAGTGTGACAGTTCCACTGCAAGCAGCAAATTTTGGATTCTAAAATATGCACACTGTTAAAGCTGCAATAAGCTAGAACAGCACATAAAACTGCTGTCCATCCCATGGCATATTTTGACTTGCAAATTTCTTTTTGGATTTATTGTCTTTTGATTTAAACACAAGTAGATTTATGCAAGTAGTTTACACTCATGTAATAGAAAACCCAAAGCACACAGATAATTCCATATGTAAGTGTACTATCTCTCAACAAGAAATAGGTTAAGTCCTATTTGAAATTGAAGGGCTCCAGCATCATAACATCAAAACATTAAAAACATTGCTTTTCAGTAGCAATAACACCTGGGTTGGTCTCTTTCTATACTCTGGTCATTACAAATATCCTACAGTTTTATCAGTATAAATGTAATAGATATCAGCAATAGGTTCCATTCTGATGCGTTAAGTTTATGGGAACATTATTGTATCTGTGCACTAAAATAACATTCTTCTCTTGAAAGTAAATTCATGTTAGTGTTTGCATTAATTGCGGGCTCCTCAAATTGCATACAAAAAGCATATAGTCATCATCTTTGTAACATTACTGATACCCTCAAATGTAACTGTTACACATTTGGGAATTTTGTCCTTTAAATATTTCTTCAGTGAACAGCTGGAGAAATCATATCATATTAGTCTGTCAAAATGCAACTATGACATGATAATATCAGCTGTAGACCAGTGTATAGGTCTATACTACTTAGGTAGTAGTAGTCACTACCTAAGAAGTAGACATGTAAAGAAGGCTCTAACAAAAATAATATTCTTATATTCTTACTTTCTTATATTCTTACTTTCTTATATTCTTTTACTGTTATTTATGTTTCTAAATTCTCAGGCACAATATGCAAACTCAGCCAGTGAGCCTAAAATACAGGCTACATAGGACTAGTAAATATAAATGTACTATCTGAAAACATACACCATTTCTCCCTTAGCTGACAAAACGCATCACTTGTGTGACCTGACTGTCAGGACATTTAGTGCTATACTCAAGATTTTAAAAACATTTTAACACCTTATTTGGAATCTGTTCATCTCTGATAAAATTTAAATAGTTATATTTCTGTAATGATGTTCTCTTTTTTTTTTCTTTTTCTTTTTTTATATTCAGCAACAGCAGAAAAGGACACAGGTGATTACTATTTGTGTGCATGTCTGCATGTATCACAGATGTAGTGTGTTGTGTCTGTTATTTTATTATTTTTGTTGATTTCAGCAATACCAAGCTATGGACCAGAACATGTATGAATGTTAAAATTAATTGTGATGTAGTTTAGTCCATGCATCCTTCATTTACACTGATATTTAACTATGATGTGCATAATTATTAGCAATTTAGCTGATTTTATATTTTGGAATATAATGGAATTCTGGTTTCTGTGAAAGAGGTATAACTGAGTGATGAAGTTCAGCTGTTAAATTCAAAATCAGTTTGTGTATTCAGAGAAATGTAATTTCATAGTCATCAGAAAAAAAGGTATGTATTTCTTAATGAGACTGCTGGAATTATTGATGAATGTCTTGGTAAGAGAACTAATTTTATAAAGCTGGTTTTTGCATTTCTCTGATATGGCTTTGTTTAGTGATACATTTGTTTTCCTAGTAACAGCTGAACATAGGGAGGATGGCAGTTCTTTGTGTTCCTTATTTCATGAAGTAGTTTTGGTGTATATTCTCCAGTAGTGCATAGAGGGGTTTTGAGTGCTTATATCCCAGTATTTAACAGAGTGATAATAAAAAAGAGAATAGCTGAAGTAGTATTTCTGGCTGAGTAGTATTGGCTGCATATAAGTATGAGGGATTGTGCATATATATACACTATGAAATAGATGCGTACACTACTTTGTCTTACCCTTTTGAAAGACTTACCTGCAGACCAAAAATGTACTAGCTAATTATAAAAACTACTTTTTTAAAGTTCTGTGTTCATAACTGAAGATTCAAAAAATTCCATTGGTCCCCAAACCTTCCACTGGTTTTCACTTGAAAATTCTAAATGCCCTGGAAATAGAAGAGCTCAGACTGGAATTGTTAAAAAAGAGAGCAGACGGTGCACTGATTGTGTGAGTATTCATTAGGATGAGTTGCTAGGAGCTCACCTTGACCAGGTCATCTGCCAACCCGCTCGGATCAATAAGGAAAAGTTTGTTAAGCAGGTGCTTCAGAGCACTTGGAGGCTCCTTCAACAGTTTCTCTGTGAAATGACCTATCTCCCTACTAGGTAAGATAACTAAAGCTAGATAGCACAAATATTCCATTTAGTGTTCTTACATCTGTAGGTATTGAAGAAAATATCTTTACAAATTATAAATTTTGAAAAATCTTGAAATTACTTTGTGAAATAAGAGAACTAATTTCAGAGTTTGTGTCCTTTTGACCTTTGCACTCTAAAGCCTCAGCTGTACACTTTTATATACTGCGTATCAACCCAAGTACAAATATTCCTTTTGCCACATGCTTGCTATTTTTATTTTTTCTCAGGCTCATTATGTCAGAAATACAGACCACTGAACACAGATCACACACAGTTACAAGCATAGGGAAAAAAAGAAAAAGAAAGAAAAAAAATTAGTGTACCTGATTTCAGTCAATTTACATTAGGTTTATGCATGCTTTGAAAGAAACTATTGTCATGTTCTTAAGGTAGGATAGCAAAGCTGTCCCTTAAGTGGCCTGGCAAATAACTACACTAGAGAATGGATGAGAAGAAAGCCTATCGCATACAGTGAGTAAATGGAAATTCACTGTGTGAGTTAGGTGAAACTAGAGGTTCATAGGCTGTGTTTGTAATTTAACTGCTTAATCAAATTACGCTTCTGACTGAAAATGCAACTGAAAATTAATCAGAAACTCAGAAAAATTAGTTTTATTGAAAGGAGTAAATAGACTGTGTTCCCCCAGAATTTTGTGCCTCATTGAACCCATTTCTCTGATGAGAAAGATGAAGCAGCTGAAAGGAATCCATATAAAATTACATTTTAGCCTGGCTAGCAGGACCAAATCCTGCTCCTCTTTGTATAACTAACTAAACTCCTACTGATTTCATCATAAACTTGATGTACAATAGGCTTATCCCTAATACCATATATTGCATTGTCGTGGAAAATAGGGAAATGCTATTTCTTGATAATTATTATTTACCTTTTAACTTCTGCATTAGATACTGTATAGAAAATCCTGAATTGCAGGAGTGTCCTTGTTAGGTAATACAGAGGTGAACATGCAAATTCTTTTTGTTGTGAGAATCTTTTTTCAGCAGTGTGGTTGCCAGGTTCCCAGGTCTATTCCCCAAGTGCTCTCATTTTCACAGGCTCAATTGAACAAGACTGAATGCTTTCCCAAAGACAGTGGTTACTTTCCTAATGGCAAACACAGTGGTATAAGCAGCACTTGCATCAACAGAATTTGCTTGCAGTTGGAAGGACATTTTATTTAGCACTCCCATGTCATTGTACTATTATGAATATAGTACAGATTTTTGCAATAAAAATAACAGTTGCAGTGACAATTACACAGGGTTCAGCATGTCATTGCTTACAACATGTACAGCTGAGATTCTCATGGAGTAGCTAATCTGTTCAGTCAGTATAATTGCCATTATGAAGAGAATGGCAACAAGCCTACTATTATAATTTTGAACTGTGCCTAGGAACTCTCATATAATGCCCTTGTAGTTTGCAGCAAGGCTTTATAATTTGTCAAGGAGATATCACAGAATCAATATGTGAAAATCTCTTTTTAAATATAAACCATTTTCATCACAACACATGCTGCCTTTGAGACTTCTCTGCCTGAAAGTACTTTTAAGATCATTTTGTGTATGGCATATTTTCCTGTATTACTCAGTATTTAACTTGAGCTAACTCTTCCCATTGATAATGTTGATCATAACAGGACCTGCTAGATTCTGAGTCCATTGACAAACAGCATTCTTCAGATGCGTTTTGTCGGTGAACAACTATTTACATGCCTCCCTCACCTGTTTTCTCTCTTTCAAGAACAATGGCCTTCCTTATACAGAATTCATTTTTTTACTTATATTTTATACATAACCATTAACACACACAGAAAATAAAAAAATACATTATTCCTTCTCAGAAATTAATGTTTTCCCCCGTTTAAATTTATTTGAAACCTGAATGCCTGAGGAGTAATGTACTCTGTTCTTGCTGTTGTCGTTTCCTAAAAGAGGTGATAGCAGCTCACATGTAAACACATTTTTCAGCATAAGGGCATTACCTTGCTCTGGAGAAATAAAGGGACTGGGTTAGAGATTAAAGTGGTAAATGGCTGTGAAGCGAACACAGCTGTATCTGTCATTGTTCCTAGATATTAATTTCCGAGGCAATGGACAGATTGTAAAGATTTAAATTATTAGACAGTTTGTCTTTTAATTCATTATTTTTAAAAGTCTGTAGTAGCAGAATATACTGGGCTCCTTCTGCCAAACAGTTTTAATTAAAAAAAATGAGAATAAATTTGATTAAAATCAGAGCAAATAGTTACTGTGTAGTGCGCAATTGCTCAAAGACAAATCACAGTTGTCATCCCAATATTTCTTTCTATCAGACAGACTGCCAAAGGCTGAATAACTGTTAACTCCATACAATAGAAGGTCAGGAGCAACTCAACAGTTTGCTGTTTTTTAAAGGACATTGATCGTTAACATACTTATTACATACAAGTTTCTAAAGGAAGGGTAGTATGTAAATGCCCTCAAGGCTCAGAAGGATCTATCAGGCTTAAAAAGAAGAACACTACAAACATTATTGAAATTGAGAAGACAAGTGGAGAGAGTCATTATACCTGGAGAGGACTTGATTAAAGCTCTCCATGCATGCTCATTTCACTGAACAAACAAAAACGAATGAGTTGCGCAGCGGCATAGCACCTTCTTGGTCTCTGGTTGTTACACAACTAAACTGAAAGAGGGGGATATGGGCATATATCCCTGGTGTCAATTTTGAAGCAGAGCTCTGCAAAAAAAACCCTGGGTTGTTGGGTTCGTGTCATGATACTCCTTCGTAAACATACTCACATTTTGTCTTAGCAGCTGGGCTGAGTCAGTCTTTGTCACTGCTCTTCCCCTTTTCCGCCCCCTGCTTTATCCATGTGAAAGCCATTTCAAGTCCTGATTGCTCTATAGGTGTAGGAATCACTGTACAGTCAAATTAGTTTCTAGTTTTTATCATGCTAACCTAGTTGTATAACCCTAATTAAGGTGGTTTAGTTCTCTCCATCATAGCATTTCATCATCTCCAGTTCCTCCTTACCCTATGATGCATTTTTAGTCAATTGGTTTATGCTCATGCAACTTAGGCTTTCATCACCTTGTCTCAAAGTTTTAGCTTCCTGTTCTTCATTTTTATCATTTTAGGAGCCTTTCTCTATTAAAATCTGAATTCCACCTTCTTGAGCATCGGTGACAAGAACTGTGCAAAGTCATCCCCATGAGATGCCTTGCACAGTACTAGGAGTACCATTATACCAGGACTGCTTGATCTAATATATTCGAAGAACACTTGTCTTTTGATGTCTATATTATGCTTGTGGCACACAGCCATTTTGTGAAAAGCTAATTCAACTCAGTCTTCAGAGTTTTGATCATTTCCAGCTGACAAGTTCCCAGTTTATAGCAAATGTTTCTTGCTGTTCAGGTGTCAAAATGTATTGCCCTCCTTCTTAAAGTATTAAATTGTGTTTCTCTTTCCCATTCTTTGGAATTATCCAATACTTGCTACTGCATTTTGACCCTGTTGTCTCTTGCCAGTGTTTTACACCACTGTTATCAGTGCAATCCTAAATTTATTCTGAAGTCAATGGTGAAAATACTAAGGAAGCTCAGCCCTAAGATGGATCTTCAAGGAATTCCTCAAGAAACCTTTTTTGCTCTTTCTCACTGTTACCTGTTATCTTTCTCTTGAGGCAGCGTCTTTATCCAACACATTGTTTCTTTTTTAATCCTCATTTTCTTCTGTTTAACTGGTAGTTTTCCCAGGAGGCATAATATCCAATGCTTTATTAAAGTCAGAATAAATGACATCTGATGAATTTCTTTCATAAGAAGATATCCTATGAAGAAAAGCTACTGCACAAGTCTAGTGCAAATCTGTGTTACATTTTATTCTGTTT